AGATACACGTTCTACTGTAGTCTATTAGAGATACACCTTCTACTGTAGTCTATTACAGATACACGTTCTACTGTAGTCTGTTACACATACACATTCTACTGTAGTCTATTAGAGATACACGTTCTACTGTAGTCTATTAGAGATACATGTTCTGCCATAGTCTATTAGGAGTTCTGCAGGTTAAAGCGCCGGACCGCAAGGTCGGTTTGAACCACAAGGTTGGGGGCTCAAGCTCACCAGCCGCTCCTCAGAAACCCTATACAGGGTCACTATGAGTTGAAAAGGACTCAGTGGCACTTAGTAACAACAACGACCCTTGTCTAAAAGTAAAGCAGTTGTGCTCATAGGGATGCCTCACCTTCTTGTGCTTTGCAGACGATGCAATTTTTTGTTTTGTTTTGTTTTTTACCACCAATGGGAAACTTGTGGCAAGCCTTCAGTGACCAGATGTATCAGCATGATTTTTCTAACAGCGTATGCCCCTGTGTCTCTCTGTCCATTTCAGTCATTCTGATAAGATTTCAAACTTCCCCACAAAGCTGTTACACATTTAACAGACTATGTTGTTGTGAAGTGCTGTCAAGTCAGGTCCCACTCATTGCGACCCCATATGGGGTTTCTTAGCGGCAGCTGGTGGGTCTGAACCGCTGGCCTTGCTGCTAGCAATCTAGTGCTGATCTTAGAGAAACACCCAGGACTCCCAGGTAAGGGTTGTTGTTGTCAAGTGTCATTGAGTCAGTTCTGACTCATAGCGGCTCTGTATAGGGATTTTGAGGCTTCAGATATTTTCATGAGCAGAAAACCTCACCTTTCTCCCACAGAGGAGCTGGTGAGCTCATTCCCTGAACCTTGTGGTTCACAGTCCAGTGCTTAGCATGAATTTTGTTGGCAACATATTGGTATTATGCCATTTAGGGGACGATAAGGGCCTCTGACATAGGAGAGCACATTGGTGATTAAGCAGTGACAACTCTGAGCGTTCGTTGACATTGGATGAGTGGTATCGACCTCACATTTAGTTCTATGAAGCCAACAACAGACGGGACAACCAACAGTTCCGTTACAGTTCCCCTGTATGTTATTGCTGACATTCTCTTCGATAGGACCATACCTCTAGACTAGTGATGAATATTTTATAATATGTAACAGTGAACGATGCTGACATGTGTGCACCTTCTTTTAGGTGTTTACCCAACTACTGTGAGCATGGCGGCGAATGTTCCCAGTCCTGGAGCACCTTCCACTGCGATTGTGCCAACACAGGTTACAGCGGAGCGACTTGCCATAACTGTAAGCTGAACGGACACTCCTGTTTGTTGTTGCCTTGCGTGATGATTCCCTCGTTCCCATTCGCTTTCCCTTTCCGTGGTAGTGTTATGCGGGCCCCTGAATGTGGGATGGGCAAACCGGAATTGTAGCATCCAGTTGATTTCTAGCTGATTTGAATCCACCTTCTTTCATAAAGTAGTCAATATACATGATAGAGACACAGAATATAAACCAGGATAGATAAGAGCTGTGTGATGAGCAAAGGGAGCGTATGTGTAAGATAGCAAATGAGGAAAAGAACAACACCAGTGCAGAACAGATCACAATCTTGTTCAGCTATTGGAACTCAGCCAACATTCTGACTCTAAAGCTTTCTAGAAACCAAGGTACAGATAGAAAAATGCTCAGTTACCAAGTTGTTGGTCTTCCTCAATGAAATGAACTTACCAAAAATAAAACAATGAAATGAAGACATTCTTTTAAGTAGTACCAAGTAGACTGGGACAAGGTGGCCTGTAGCCTGGAGATTTAGACGTCAAATAGAGACTTCTTGTTGTTAAGTGCCTTTGAGTTGGTTTCCGACTCAGCGACTCTGTATAGGGTTTCCAAGGTGCGACTCGTGAGTTTGAACTGTGGACTTTGTGGTTAGCAGTCCAGCACTTATCCTACAGTACCACAGTCCTTAAATTCTCTTGCAACCTGTTTGGTGAGGATGCAGGCCAAAGGATTAGATAAAGTAATGGTACCTAATTTTATTGAATCCTTTCTAAATGCCAGCTGGCTCTGATCTACTATTTTTCAGTGTGAACTCATAGTTCTGAGGCCTGCTGTGGAAAATGGGTACTATTCCTACCTGTAGTTTACCCAGGAGGAAGCAGATACTAACCAACTTGCGAGACCCTACTTCAATAGTTGTAGGGTCAAAGTGCGGACGAGAACATCTGCATCCCTGCTGTAGGACCCATCTGCCATGTCCTAACCCTCTCTTCTGATGAACTATCCAGGCTACGTTCTTGTTCAGCGACCTGTAGGAACAGGTTGTGGAGGAACAGGGAGACTGCGACGCCCACATTTTTCTTTCCTTTTTGGGATGTCATTTTCTGGAGACCTTCTCCTTGGTCCTCCTTCCTGCAGCCTTGACCCACCAGACTTAGCACTCTGGTCTCTTACATGAGTTTCTGTGACTTTGTGCTCCTGTCAGAGTGGCCTGGTTTCCAGTCCTGGGGGCTTCACAGTGGACCATCAGACGTTGTGATTCTGAGCAGGAGAGGGTGCTCCTGGCTCCACCCGCAATGCTTCTACCACTGCAGCCCGTGTGCATTCCTCTGGCATTGGTTGCTTGTTTGGGGGTGTCCACCAAGACCTCATGAAGGATGCTTGCGATTGCCAATACCACACCTCACCTGTAACCAGGGCTGCGTCACCTGAGACAGGACACCCAGCAGAAAGGGACACAGCATTTTATTCTGGTGTCCTTCATGTCCCCAGTGTAGTACCTAACTCAAAACAGACAACTACTGAGTGTGTGTTAACTAAGTATTCATTTTGAATTATCATCAGTGACTGAATTGAAACACAAGCAGCTTTAAGGGAAAATCAGGTGATAAATTAAAAGCTATTTCTTCCTGTAGCCCACCATTTGAAGCAGTCATCAGCTTATTTAAGTCCTTGAGCACTTGATGTGGAACTAAAAGGTTGGTTTTTGTTTTTGTTTTTGTTTTGCAAATAATCATTCGGAGCCTTGGGGCCAGAATGAAAGAGCTGGTTGGAATGACGCCGTCACTGTTGTCAGCATAGGAGCGGTTCAGGAACGGGGCCCTTAGAAAGGTTTTCTTAGGTGAATACTCCTCCATTAACCATCATTCTGTAAACGTCAGTCAGCACGTATAACACAGAAGTCTCCCGATTGCCCCTGAAAATTATCCTATGTGTATATTTCCATCTATATAATATACAAGGAGTCCCTGATATAATAGGTGTCCCTGGATGGCACAAATGCTTAAACAATTGACAGCTACCCAAAAGGTGGGTGGTTTGAATCAATCCGGTGGAAGAAAGGCCTAGAAATGTACTTCAGAAACATTTGTAGCCTTCGAAGGTCCCTCCTAAGGGGCCTGTTCTCCTCTGGCTCAGAGTCCGAATCAAGTCAGTGGGAGATGGTTTAGTTTTGGCTTAATATATAATAAGGACCAATAAAATCATCAGATTGTAGAAGAGTGGAAAGGTAAATTTGTTTGTCTGAAAATTAAAAAAAAATATTGAACAAATTAGCTATACTAGTTCATGTTGTCTAAACATTCATTAAAATGATGATAAAAAGTCTAAAGTAGATTCAGAGACAGATATGAGCATTGCATCTTTCTCATTTTACAGAACTAAAAATCCTACTGGTAATTAGTACATTTGACCAAATGTTTAATAAGTATGCATTAAGCGCAGGTATTAACATCAAATTTTATGCATAGTGAAAAATAAAATTAATTAATCAATTCTTGCAGTCCTCTAAGGATCAGAATACATATAGACCAATTGGAGTCAGGAGTCCTGGTGTGGCACGTAGGATTAGCACTGGATTGCAAACCACAAGGTTGGCAGTTCAAACCCACAGCTGCTCTTTGGAAATCCTTTTTGGGTCACACTGAGTTGGAACCGTGACAGCACGTAGCAACGACAACAGCTGGAGTCATATGATGTAACTACATCTTCTGCTTTGAATTCCAGTTATCTTCAATTCCCATTACAAAACATTAGAGAAGGTTTCTTTTGTATTTTACTTTAAAAAGATTGATGAGCTTGATAAATCATACTAATTTTATGAAAAACAAGCAAACATATATCACTTGTGAGAAGAGTATGTGGTTGTTGTAGTTAGGTGCCATCAAGTTGGTTCTGACTCACAGCGATCCTGTGCACAACAGAACAAAACTCTGCCCAATCTTGCGCCAGACTCACAGTTGTTGCTGCATTTGAGCTCATTGCTGCTGCCATTCCATCTCGTTGGGAGTCTTCCTCTTTTTCAAGGACTCTCCCCTTTACTGAGCATCATGTCCTTTTCCAGGGACTGACCTCTCTTGACAACACATTAGAAGCATGAGAGAACAAAGGCTTTAACAGTCTGGCTTCTAAGGAGCATTCTGGCTGTACTTCGTTCAACACAGATTTGTTTGTTCTTCTGGAAGTCCATGGTACTTTCAATATTCTTCTCTGACACCATAACTCAACTGCATCAGTTCTTCTAACGTCTTTCTTATTCACTGTTCAACTCTTACATGCATATCAGGCTATTGAAAATACCATGGCGTGGTCCCGGCCCAGGAAGGGTGTAGTTACAAATTTGAAGCTTTTCTGTTGCATCTTTGTTGGATAACAGCAGGTTATTTAAGGAGATTACGCTAATGTATTACAGACGTTCAGTATTAAAAGGTGATATGAGAACTCAAAATTGCAAACTGGATGTTGTAAGATAAAGATATCACATTATACTTATAAGTGTCTTAGCGTTTCCGCATCTACCTTCTCCTTCCTTATTCCTTATAATGTAAAGCTAAATGTTATAAAATACAGCCTCTCTCTTTCTTTTCGTTTTTTCCTATTGAATTTAGTTTCATCCACATTAGAATAAGATTGGTATTTTAAAGTAATGTGCCTTCTCTCCTGCTTGATAATGTAATTATTATATTTGAAGACTTGGAGTCTTTTGTGTCCAAATACTCAAGGGCTTCATTTTGTCCTCATCCATTTATGATGATCTTTTTTATAGCTGTCCATGAGCGGTCATGTGAAGTCTATAAACACAGAGGAAACACTTCAGGATTTTACTATGTAGACTCCGATGGAAGTGGCCCCCTGAGACCATTTCTTGCGTATTGCAATATGACTGGTGAGTTAATCAACTGCCCTTTAATGGTTAAATTTGCATGAATTCTTGAAACACCCCAAATTAAAATGTAACACGTAGAAAGTTGGCCTTACTGCAACTTGATTGAAAACTACGACTTGATTGAACTGTGTATCATTCAGTAGAAAAATTAAATATGAATCTTTCAAAAATTATTGAATGGTGATAATTTAGAACATTTAATAAATGCTTCTGTTATGTCCTTAAGCAAATTGGTAATCATTTCTCTGAGCAGATTGACACTTTTGAGAGCTTTGAAAATTATCATTTTTTTTACATGTATATGTAAAACGTATTTATCTCTAAGTATTTACTTATATACATTTATATAGGAATTATTAGGCACAGAAAATACAGTTGATTAAATTCAGCATCTGTTTAAAAAGAAAAAAAAAAAGATAAAGAAAACTTAATAAATTGCCTATCAAAGGAAATCTTACTAATGTTATGAAGGGAGTCCTGGTGTGGTGCTTCAGGATAAGCACTGGACTAGTAACCAGGTAGAAGGTTCAAACTCACCAGCTGCTCCTTGGAAACCCTATACGGGGATGCTATGAGTCGGAACCCACTTGATGGCATTTAACAGCAATAACAACACTCACAAAACTCCTGTAGCTAATATCCCGATCAATGGTGAAATACTGACCGCCTTTTCCCTGGTATCACAATAATACAGGGATGCTTCCTGTGAACACTTTTGTCCCTCACTGTATTGGAAATCCTGACCAGTACAATGGGGTCCTGGGTGGCCCTGCAGGATAAGCACAGGACAGCTCCTCGGCGCCACTGAGTCCGATCCAACTCGGTGACACTTAACAACAACAACAGCAACGAGTACAATAAAAGCCAGAAAAAGAAGAAGATATTTGAGGGGGCTTCACAGTTGGTGGAAAAATGGAATGAAAAGATAATGGAATTTTTCCATG